ATGACTGTATAAAAAAATAGATAAGCAACAAGTTTATACTGTATAGCACAGGGAACTATATTCAATGCCTTGTAGTAACCTATAATGAAAAGGAATATGACAATGAATATATGTATGTATATGTTTGACTGAAACGTGATGCTGTACACCAGAAATTGACACAATGGAAATTGGCTCTACTTCAATTAAAAAAAAAAGATCCTTGAAATGTGGAAAAAAGATTTTTATTGATTGATTAAAAATATTTAAATAAAAAAGGATTTTAAGAACCCTTAGGCAAGATGAAAGATTTAAAAATCTTGTTGGGAGGTTCTGGGCAGGTGAGAGAGTGTGCCTCGATCAGGAATGATGTGTGTGCATAGTTTTGGGAGGAGAAAGCAAGGGACACGGTGGTCAGCTTAACACTTCCTGATGGAAAAGGAACCGTCATGAGCGAGTGTTCCAGCACCACCGGCCGAAAAGATAGTCTCTGTTCTGTTGTTGTTGTCTTTGCGCCTCTGTCAAAGCTGACTAAATATGTAAGTTGACTTTATTTATGTGGGTCTATTTCTCTCTTCTGTTCCATCGAGCTGTCTACTTTTTCACCATACTGTCTTGATTACTTTATCGTAAGTCCTGTAGTTGAGTAGTGTCTGTTCTCCAAATTTGTTCTCCTTCAATGCTGGCTTTTGCTTCTCTACACAAACTTCAGAATCAGCGTGGTGAAATCCACAAAGTAGCTTGTTGGGATTCTGATTGGGATTGCATTGAATCTATAGATAAAGTCGGGAAGAACTGACATCTTGGCAACATTGAGGCTTCTGATCCAAGAACATAGAATATCTCTTTCTTTCGTTAGTTCTTTGATTTTGTTCATCAGAGTTTTATGTTTCCTTCTATAGCTCTTAGACATATTTTGTTAGATTATGTAAATCTAAGTATTTCATTTTGTTTAAGCCTAAGTATCTCATTTTGAGGGGGAGGTGTTCATGTAAAAACGGTATTGTGTTTTTAATTTCAAGTACCACTTGTTCACTGGCTGGCATATAGGAAAGTGATGGGCTTTTGTCTATCAGTCATGCATCCTGCAGCCTTGCTCTAATTGACGTTTGTCGCTCTGTCTCTCCCTTGATTAAGCCTCACCCAGCTGCCCACTGCTTGGGGTCCCCTGAGTGTGGCCTTGGACTTGGAGGGCTCTGTGCTCATGGGTTACCCTGCCTGCGGTGCCCTCACCTGTCATCTGTTGAAGCCTTACCCAGCAATCCAGAGCCCCAGCCAGGGAGCTCCTCCAGGATGCTTTCCCAAACCCCTCAGCAGAACTGACTCCTTCCTCCGGGTCCTTGGGACACTTTGGCTCCCAGCCCGATCCAAGCACCGATTGCATCTTGCCCTCCCTCACAGCAGCTTATTTAGATCTCTCTTCTCGGCAGGCCGTGAGCTCCCAGGGCAATGATGGAGACTTACTCATCAACCTCTGGGGGCCCATGCATTCGGGAACTCTGTCACGGGTAGTTGAATTCGGTTGGTCCTGTTGGGCCTTGATGAAGCCAGGCCACAGGGAGTCAGCCTTAGGGACCTGACTGTCCTAACTTGTTTGGCAGACTTTGGGGTGTCATAGAATAAAATCCATTCCTAGCATCTTGTGTGTGGTCACCTGTCACTTAGGGAGAGGGGAGTTAAATCAGTGCAGCAAGGCTGGCCTTTAACCCCCAGTGCCCTATTGACTGCTGTCACCTCTGCTCAGCCTTCTGCACATGTCCAGTCTCTGCCCAGGTCCTAGGTGGTGACAAGCCACAGGATACTGATGAGGATCGTATTTTTCTTTTAAAACTACCGCTGTGTGGTTTCCACTTTTGAACTCTCGGAACTTGCTGACTCCGGGCTCTCAGAAGTGATGCCTGAGGCCGGTGCTGCGGTGACTTTCAGCCCCCCTGGATCTGTGTTTTGTCCTTGCTGAGCTGGGAATGGCCTCTTTCCAAGGGCTCTGCCACCATTCCTCCTGCCTGTTTCCTCTTAACTATGTAGCATGCTTTTCTGATCAAAAGCTGCTGTTCTTGAAAGGCCGATTCTGTTTCAAGAGTTGTTTTCGAGGGCAATTCATTTTAGGCTGATTAAATTTGATTGGACTTCACCTGCATTGTTATGTATACTTAGCAGCTTAAGATTCGTTTTGGAGGAAAAAAAAATCCAGTCTATCTTGTGACAACTCGTGTGACTAATTAATGCTCTGCAGTGCACCATGAAACTTGCAAGATATGGCACAAACACCAAATCATAACATTTTGGAAACTGTCTTAGCAATTTGAACATCTGTATTACAGGGATATGCCATATTAGTAAATTGAACATCTTTTATTGATTCACCTTGTTAAGCAGGAAAATAATCCTTATGGCTTTAGAAGCCTTTTGCAAGTTCTAGGAGGTGCCACTTGGAACACGAATTTAGTTCAGTAAATGAAGGCAGATGTCAGGCATTTAATTGGTCCTTCTCTCTCAGCTGGCTCTGTCAATTTTGGTACCGCTGTTGGAGATGACAAAATTCACCAATGATGTGAAACTGACATAGTGAATTAGATGCTGTTGGTTTTTGGGGGAGAGGAGGCTGGCTGTGCAGAGTTCATGCTTAATAACTGGCTAATGTCATAACCTGGTCTTCACAGAGTTTTCTTCTCAAATTCCTCAAAGAGCAGAGAGGAACAGGGAAGAAGGTGGTAGCAGCTTAACTTGACTGCCCCACGAAACTTCTTTTAAAGTCTTGAGCCTTGTATTAAATATTCAAGTGACTTTTATTTTCTACTCTGTGTTATCATTTTCCTTCAACTCTTCAGCTAAAAGGATTCAACTGGGAAGATGCATTTTTTTAATTTTGTGGTTTCTGGACCCCTAAGGCTCAGATACCTGGCTTGAGAAGCAGGTGTAAAAATGGTAATAAAAGGGCTGTGAAAAGATACGGGAGGAGAACTAAACTATGATACCTCCAGACAATGGAATATTTTAGCACTGAATAACAGTGCTAAAAAGAACTTTGAGCTCTCAAGCTATCAAAAGACATTGGGGGATCCTTAAATGCATTTCACGAAGTGAAAGAAACTAATCTGAAAAGGCTACATACTGATATGATTCCAACTCTGTGACATTCTGGAAAAGGCAGAAGTGTGGAGACAGTGAAAAGATCAGTGGTTGCCAGGGGTAGGGGGCGGTGAGGAGGGGTGAGCAGGCAGGCACAGAGGATTTCTAGGTGATGCAAATACTCTTATGATACCTTAGTGATGGATACATGCAATGATGCATTTGTCCACACCTGTAAAATGTACAACATCAAGAGTGAACTCTAATGTGAGCTATGCGCTGTAGGTGAGAATGACG